CGGATTAATGGTAATTACATTGAACCTTATGGGGAAATTTGCTTCGGGTCGCGACCAATTCGGGTCGCAACCAGAGTCGCGGAATGAATTAAGTTCGTGAACCGAGGTACCACTGTATTCTGATTCTCCAAGTGCTGCAGGTGTTCGACCTAGCAATGCAATCCTTTGTAGACTCCTCTTTTGCCTTTTGCTCTTTAAAAAAAAAAAATGAAAGCCGTAGACCACAAAATGTCAGTTACAAGAAAGGGCAAACAATATTTTTCTAGTACATAATATTGATCACTCTAAGTACAAGATTATTTAATGTCCATTCTGGAGACTGGTTGGGAACTCCTGAACTGAAAGCAAACTGCAAAATATTTTTTATCCCAAGTCGCCAGATTTGGCAGGTCTGTGAATTACTGGAAACCAACGAAAATGTGCAAATATTAACTGCTGATGCATAATAGATTTTGCTTCAGTTGAGGTGGCTAAGGACATCTGACTCTTGGGCTTACATCAACCAGATTTCCTACCCAGCTCCTGTGCTCAATCCTAATTCCATGACATATTTTCAATTTATGAAGACTAAATGTTGCTATCATCCCCCATTGCCACCGATTTTTGTCAACACCTCATTTTTCAGACTTAAGAATTTCTTGAACTTTACTTTGTGAGCATGTGTCTATTAAAAGCAAATGGCAAACTCTTATTTCAGAGCTTAACCCTCCAGGGATCATTTTCTCCTGGTTTTGAATTTCTTTTACTCCCCATTTCTCACTCTTTCTGTTTGGAATCATTCCAAAGATTTGGGTGGGAGTGGGGGTTAATAGTTAGACTTGAATGATAGGATCTCATTCTGCATATGGAAGTTGCTTCGATGTTTGGATCCTCTGGGATTGTCCCCTGCTTATTTGATCTCACTAGGTTGTTCCAAATTTTTCTGATTGTCCTTGAATGGTCCTGCAAAACTTTGGATCATTTTGTTTACCCTGAAGGGGAATAGCTTGACATATGATGCTATGTGTGATAATTTTCCTTTAGTTCCACCCCTTTTCTCACACAGCAGACTTACTAATGGAAGGAGGGGTGGTGTAATACAAGTACTCCCCTCATCCCAGAAGAGGTTGTCTTCTCTTGGAAACTCAAGCATTTCTGATCCAGGCTTTTAATCTGTTCCAAGATATTCCATTTCTCATCCCTAGTATCTTGCTTTCTCTGGAGCAGTTGGTCAAAACTCTACAGCCATATTGGGCTACTGACTGTAGCCTCCCTCACTGGACAATCTTTCCAAAGGATTTATGGTGTGCTTCAAACCTCTAGGATCCTCCAAGTTCATTGACATAACCCTGGGGGGCATAGAAGGGGCTCCCGTGGCTATGCAAAGATGGCTATGTCACAGATAAGGTTGCTTTGAACATAGTTTGTGGCATGGGAAGTCAACCATTTTGGTTCTAGAGCATCTGGTAGACCCATTCCAAAATTATCTACCATGGTAAAGATGACTCACTAGCTGATCTAGTCCTGCAGGGTATGGTCTAGCATTCCAATGGATCTTTATGGGGTCCAAAAACATTCTTGCAAAATAGTAATAATAATAATCCGGTCTAAACATCTGGTTGACTGTGCAACCAACCATCATAATAATAAATTTATTAAACTTGTACGCAGCCTGGCTCTCATAGAATGCTAGAGACTGGCGCTTTTTAAAACAATACTCTGGTTTCCTTTTCCATTTTTAGCTAATAAAATGCTTTCAAAAAAATTCCGAAACTGGTAGGCCCGTGCTGCGTGCAAACCTTGTTGTCTAATCTTGGTCTACAGGTTAATATAAAAAGTTTTATGACCTGAACTACGCATCCATTGATGTTGCCTACACGTGTGCTTTGCAGGGCTCTTCAGCCATTTGGGGGCCAAAGGAGGAAAGAAAATCATCATTTTGGAGGCAGACCTTCAACCTCTGATTTGTCCAGAGCCAATAATTAAACAAACTATTTATCCTTGCTGCTTTTGCTTTTGAAATTAGCATGTGAAACAATGCTATACCCAACCTGAAATGAGATGCTATAAAACTGAGAGCAAGCACACCAAAAAAATAATGTTTTGAGAACTATAGCTTCCTTAATGATGCTCCAAAGGACAATTCAAGGACAATGAGAGAAATTTGGAATAACCTAGTGAGATCAAATAAGCAGGGGAAAATCCCAGGAGATCCAAACACGAAGCAACTTCAAAGGGCAGAATGAGATCCTGTCATTCAAGTCTAACCATTAAAAACCCAGCACTGCACTTTGTTTAGATTCTCATTTTCCCAACCTTTATTCTTCATCAGCTTCAGTGAAAAGGATTCGAGGAAATTTGCAATTATCTATTTTTTTTCCTTTAATATACTCATTTGTATATGCTCTTAGCCCAGTGCCTGCATTTTGTGAATATATATGTCTATATGTGTGTGTCTACTTCTCAAATTTATGTTTTTCTGCACACCTTCT